TTTAACGGCATTTACCCGAGGTGGGTTGATTAATTCCAATATTGGAGTTTCAAATTTGGAATTCAAAAGCGGTCCCCAACCCGCATGTATAAATATGAGATTTGATTATAGTGGTGAAGGTTTTTATTTTCTTTAATCCACACTTTTTGAAGGGCCGATTACAGAGACCTGTTGCACTACGTGCCACAAGATCAAACGAATGACTCCGCGTTTTTGAGTTATCCTTCGCCTAGACCAGTTGCCATCCAAGGCTATAGAACCCAGTCTGTCCCAAGCATTTACCCATAGCTGGAGGGAGAAGAAGAGGATTCACACTTTTCCCAAGGGTATTAGCAATAAATTGAATGTAATGGATTCCACTGGAATTCGAACTCGGCTCTCCGATTCCTCAATCCAAGCCGCTATCCATTACTCCTCCTCTCACACTTTCCGCTGATTTATGTCTCTGATAACTACAATCTTCAAAAATTTAAATGCAACGTCAATCGCCAACTTCTGTTGACTTGAATCCCGTTCATCTTTTATCCTTCCCTCAGTGCTCCCTATAGCCAATCTTTATTCTCTCTTTCAATCTCTGTAACCCCCTGCCTACTAGTGGTACCCCCGCCTTGTTTGGGGTGAAATGATTACAAACAAACAAAGAGATAAGGATGCTCGCATTTAAATTCATTTACTTTAGTTTGGAACAAGGTTAACCTTATTTAGGCAAGAGGTGAAAATCGCCACAAAAGTTGTCTTGTGTATGATGGTAAACTATATCCAACATCAAGAACACTGATCGAAAGATTTGAGGTTAAAAGTTGCGTGGAAACACCTATTTATTGCTATTGTTCCCAGGTCCTCCCTCACTCGGAGTGGTAGCCCTTGTTAGGGTCCCAGCTATGAGCAAATACTGAGCACCCAAACAAAAATCAACAATATATTTTTATAGCAAAATTACCAAAAAATATTTTTATAGTAAAATTACCAGTAATATTTTTTATAGTAAAATTACCAACAATATAGTTTAAAGCAAAATTACCAGCAATACTTTTTATAGTAAAATTGCCAACAATACTTTTTTATAGTAAAATTACCAGCAATACATTTTATAGTAAAATTACCAACAATACTTTTTATAGTAAAATTACCAGCAATACTTTTTATAGTAAATTTACCAGCAATATTTTTTATAGTAAAATTACCAACAATATAGTTTAAAGCAAAATTGCCAGCAATACATTTTATAGTAAAATTACCAACAATACTTTTTATAGTAAAATTACCAGCAATACTTTTTATAGTAAAATTACCAGCAATACTTTTTATAGTAAATTTACCAGCAATATTTTTTATAGTAAAATTACCAACAATATAGTTTAAAGCAAAATTGCCAGCAATACATTTTATAGTAAAATTACCAACAATACTTTTTATAGTAAAATTACCAGCAATACTTTTTATAGTAAAATTACAAGCAATACTTTTTATAGTAAAATTACCAGCAATATTTTTTATAGTAAAATTACCAACAATATAGTTTAAAGCAAAATTACCAGCAATACATTTTATAGTAAAATTACCAACAATACTTTTATAAAAATTACCAGCAATACTTTTTATAGTAAAATTACCAGCAATACTTTTTTATAGTAAAATTACCAAAGCAATATTTTATAGTAAAATTACCAACAATATAGTTTAAAGCAAAATTACCAGCAATACATTTTATAGTAAAATTACCAACAATACTTTTTATAGTAAAATTACCAACAATACTTTTTATAGTAAATTTACCAGCTATACTTTTAATATTAAAATTACCAGCAATACATTTTATAGTAAAATTACCAGCAATACTTTTTATAGTAAAATTACCAGCAATACTTTTTATAGTAAAATTACCAGCAATACTTTTAGATCAAAATTACCAACAATATTTTTATAACAAAATTATCAGCAAAATTCTTATAGCAAACTTACCAACAATACTTGCTATAGAAAATTACCAGCAACACCTTTTATAGAAAATTACCAACAACACATGTTATAGTAACATAACCAGCAATACTTTTTATAGCAAAATTTCCAACATTGCTTTTTATAGCAAAACTACCAACAATACTTTTTATAGCAAAAATACCAGCAATACTTTTTATAGCAAATTAACCAACAATACTTTTTATAATAAAATTACCGAAAATACTTTTATAGTAAAATTACCAGCAATACTTTTTATAGAAAAATTACAAACAATACTTTTTATAGTAAAATTACCAGCAATATTTTTTATATAAAATTACCAGTAATAATTTTTGTAGCAAAATTCCCAACAATACTTTTTATGGTAAAATTAGTACATTTTATGATCTACACACTATATATCAAGAGAACATACCTTTTACCCAGTATGTATGAAAGTCTGTGCAAAATATTTAGATTTCGGCATTAAATAACCCATAGAGGTTGATATGCCGCTATACTAAATCAACAACCTAATTGCAACAACAGACTATGAATTTTAGCTACGTAAATGACACTCGTAGATTCAACATAGCTTTTGTGAAAAGTGGGGCAAACGCATTCACTTTCGAGTAGAACATTTATTAAAATTGTATTATATTTTAAAGTGGTCTTTGACTTTCGAGCGGCACCATATATACGGTTATATTTTTCTATTCGCAAAGAGCGTTTTGTGAACTGTTCTGTCATGACTCAGAGCATGTCTATGTACAGAACTCAGACCATCCCAGTCCATTATTTGAACGGTACCATTTTTCTAACTACTGATTGGTTATGAAATTGAAAACAAATATATGCAGAAATTCTGCTGGGGCATCTGTAATTTTGTTTCTACCGACTAATGTTTAGATTAATCTGAACAGACCACGTGAACAACAAGAAGGTTCTAAGAAGGGCCACCTCTTTAAAACTCTTCCTCAGAAGCTGAAATATACATATGAAACTTCGAATTCATAATGAGGAAATAGCATAGAAGAATTGAGCACCCACAGAAAATACGGAAAGTGGGAGAAAACAGTAAGTATCATACTTGACATGTTTGTGTCAATGAGCAATGAGTGAATACGAGACAAAAAAGATACGATCGCCCTGGCGACTGGGGCTTCAGAATATGTCGGCTGCACCTCTGCAGAGGGGTAAGGCGCCCCCCTCCCTCGCCAAATGAAGCGGCCTGGGTAAGACGATAAACTACATCCGACAGCAAGGTTTTGAAGATCGTGGAGCTACCTCTTAATTGCTGGTGTTCCCAGATCTACCCAAACCTGAGGTGGTAGCACTTGTTAGGGCCAGAGTTATGGGCACATAGTTGACCCCAAACTGAGATAAAAACACTATGAAAGAGTAAAAATAGATTTTAATACCATGAATACATTATTGAAAACGATTATTACCAGCAATGGATTTTTGAAGAAAAAATTCTTAACAGTAATACATTTTACTAGCCATGCGCTTTTGAAAAAATTACCAGGAATACACTTTTGAAGGAAAAGAAATTCTACCAGCAATATATTTTTGAAGAAAAAAAAAAGAAATAACAGAAATACACTTTTGAAGGAAAAAAATATTACCTGCAATATATTTTTGAAGGAAAAAATATAAGCAGTAATACATTTAAAAAAAATGTGTTACCAGCAATAAAAATAGTGTCGGCATGAAATAACCCATTGAGTTTGATATGCCGGAAAACAAACCAACCCGTATATATATATATATATATATATATATATATATATATATATATATATATATATATATATAATTATTTATTTAAAAATATGATTCCAAATCGCGACATAAGAAGTCCCATGTTTCAAAACAAAAGAGCCAGAAAACTTCAATATAATTATTTAAATTATTTAAATTAAATTGAGTTAAAATAAAATGGTGCTCCATCTTCAAGCGAAATTTTTTTTGGAATAACGTGTTTCTGAAATTTACGTGTTTTAAAAAATTGAAATCAAATTATATATATATATATATATATGTGTGTGTGAAAAAAGTATATAAATATAAATAAATATATATATGTATAATTATTTATATATTATATGCGATATTATTAAAAGCGCTCAATATCAGAGATAGAGCTAACATATTTGGTTGGATAGATGTGAGTTTGTGAAGGGTCAAAACTCACATCTATCCAAATATATAAATATATATATATATATATATATATATATATATATATATATATATATATATACACAATGGCTTCTATAACACTGCCTAAAAAATAGTGGTTATAAAAATGCTAACATTAACTATAGAGAAAATTACACTGGCCATAGGAAAAAAAAAAACAGGAAAAAAAATATCATTTGGTTTTTACCCTCCGTTCAACCAAAGGTTAGTATTAAACTAGGACAGAAATTCTTAGCTCTAATTAATAAACACTTCCCCACCAATAGTAAGCAAGTAATATATTCAATAAGAACACCTAATATATATATATATATATTATATATATATATATATATATATATATATATATATATATATATATATAATAAGATAAACATTGCATTGCCCTGACGATCCGTTTAGGTGAATCTATGTAGGTTTTACCTGGCTCATTAGGTTTATCTTAAGTTTGCTCTACTTTGTGCATTGAGCACTTTACGTGGCTGCCTTTACTCGTTTTAGAGTTTTTTTATTTGGATTTTGAGATTGAACTCTGAACGATTGTTTTCGCGTTAGTTTCATGTTCTTGGTTGTTGGTTCTTTGTTTTTTATCCCTTATTTTTCCTTGGGTACTGGTTATCCAAGCTTTTTCCAAGCGTGTATCACCATTTATATATATATATATATATATATATATATATATATATATATATATATATATATAGATAGATAGATAGATAGATAGATAGATAAAAAATATTGCCTGCAATAAAATTATAGTCGGCATTAAATAACGTATTGAGGCTGATATGCCGTTAAACAAATCAAACCGAACCAAAAGCATTGGAAGCTGTGGAAAAACATAATCGCTTCGATCATGAATAGATATGGCAAAGAAGAATAGATAGATAGATAGATAGATAGATAGATAGATAGACAGAGACAGATAAACTGCAAGCAGTTTTTCTTTAAAAGGATGTGTAGTGAGTGTCGATAACTTAAATAATTTTAATGTAATACATTTTTGAAAAATTATATGTCTTTTCTAATTAAAAGTACTATATTTAGTGCGGCAACTATTAGGACCGACTTTAAATTCTCTGAACTTTGACATGGCACCTCATATATTAGCGTCTTTAAATGAGATTCCACACTTGAAAAATCGCGAATCGTCTTTTCCACATTAATAAAGAAGTTCTGGACATATATTCTGGACAACCGTATATTTCCGATCAAGGAAACCGAAAGCGAAGTTCGATTACTCTATCGATTTTATGCTCCCAACCCGTTCCGCAGATGTATTCGAGACGAAGTATTTATCATCCATTTTTTTTTTCTAACCAAAAAAAACATTAATGAAAATATTGCATTTGCATCAGAAACACGTTTTCGCAGAGTTTAACAAATTTTAAAAGATAACATCGCAAAAATTACATCGTGAAAGTAATTTATCAAATTTATAATTTTAATTGAAAAAAAAAATGTGTAATTTTGATCGGATATAAATTTCGTCATATGATGAATTAAGCAAGAAACAAAATATAAAATGTAAAATTATGCACGCGGGCGCGCACACGCATATATATATATATATATATATATATATATATATATATATATATATTCGATACATTATGTATTTATATAAAATATAAATATGAAAAATGGATGAATAAAAGAAAAGATAGCAGACGCATACATTAGTACACAGACACTCAAACACACACATGCACACATACACATACATACACATATCTATATATCTGTCTAGATATTGTAATTATTTACCTATTTACATTGTTCGGACTGTTGTCCTCATCTTTGTTGCCATATTCACGATGTTTCGATCGTTGTACGGTCCGGCCTTCTTCAGATGATTCATATATATATATATATATATATATATATATATATATATATATATATATATATATATATATATATATACATATATATATATATATATATATATTATGCAGCAAAAATTAAAAAATTACCTCATGTGAGATTCCGGGCCAGTCGATAGTACTTTGATTTGCTCACTGATAAAGATTTCTAGTGTGTTCGCGCAGCGTTACAATACTCGTACGCTTCCTTGGAGTAACGTCCATCACAGACAATGGCCGTAGGACAACTAATCATCAGTCGAGACAATAGTGTCTGGGCGTGATAAAAATGTGATGCAATCACGGATGTTGCAATATTATTCAAAGCGAAACATTTTTCTCATACACTCCGAAAATGGTTTCTTATTGCTGCACCCCACACCAAATTACATAATCTTAGGAAAAAATAGAAATCGATTACACCCTGTCACTACAGTAGGTCTAAAAATGACTATATCGTAAAAAGAAAGGAAACTAAAGTAGTTGTTTCAATTAATTTACACAAGGATATACATAATAGGCAAAATTCTACTGTATCTTTTGTCACTTTTGACAGGAACGGATAAGAAATAACAAGGTGCATACAGCTAAATGCTAGTTCTAGTAAGTGGTTCTACGAATTATGGTCGAAGAATTTACTGCGTAATACAGTGTAACCCGGATATAAGAGACCCGTATATAAGAGAAATCCGGATATAAGAGAGATTTTCTCTGGTCCCAAATTAGAGCCTGTGTTAATGTATATAAATTAGACCCAACCCGGATATAAGAGAAACCCGGATATAAGAGACTTCTTCTCCGGTCCGACAACTCTCTTATATCCGGGTTACACTGCATTGACGAATTATTTAATGGAATCATTACAACCTTTGTTAAAAGTATTTCCTAAGCTTCGATCATTTTAGCACAAGACTACAAAAGGCGACATTTAAATTTACATATTGCACGACTGGCATTTTAAGAATTGTTTAATATCATTGTAATATTTAATAGTTTGACACAAGTCTTTAATTCAAAGCCCGAATTAAGGATGGATACATTAGAATGTCGAGAATCAACGAGAGTCTCGCGGTAAGATTCATTCAAGCTTTGCAATCTTTATAATCTCTTTTTTCATCATTTCTTTTCGAAAACTAGCAATTTTGTGAGGAAATAATTTCCATCATTCTAATACTGGATTTCATTCTAAGAACCTTTATTTCTTGTGTTACAGAGTTCACATCAAATTCACATTTTGGAGATAAATATACCCGATGACGTTAGTTTTCTAATAATTTTCACAATGATGTAACCATATAAATTCAACATGTATATAAATAGAGCTACTAAGGTTTTACGAAGTCTAAAAGAATATGAAAGAAGGCAAAAAAAAAAACACTATTAAGGAGGGATAAAAACAGAAGATAAAAAAAATTAGGAACAGAGATAACGATTTCAATTTTTTTTTAAAATCAAACTTTACTAGAAATCAGGAAGCCGGGATAGAGTTACACAAGTAAGAAGTGTAAAAGAATAAACTGTCAGCATAGAACTTACGGTTACATCTAGGCATTTCATAATTTACAAGACTCAAGATCCACTCGTGGTAAAGTGTTAGATAGTAAAAGTCACCACCCGAAGAAAAGTGATCACCAAAACTCAAGGGGCAACCGGAAGTGAAAGAAATGGAAAGCAATTTAGAAGGAACCAATCATAAACAGGAAACAATGAATAAATATCTACTAGTGTTCAAAAGAATGAGGAGGAGTGTGAACCGGACGATAGTAGGATCTATCTACTTCTGTTGAGGAAATGATAACTAAACAAGAAGAAAGAATAAGTTCAGAGAGTTTAACGGAGGCGTTAAAAGTTTAGAGCAGATGTACACCCTTGTGCAAATTAGTTGAAACAAATTACTTACTTTGTTTTATGTAAACAAAAGGAGATAGATAGATAGATAGATAGATAGATAGATAGATAGATAGATAGATAGATAGATACAACCTGTGCAAATTAACTGAAAACAAATTGAATTGAATTTTATCATTACTTACTTTGTTTTATGTAAACATAAGGAGATAGATAGATAGATAGATAGATAGATAGATAGATAGATACAACCCTGTGCAAATTAATTGAAATAAATTGAATTGAATTTCATCTTTACTTACTTTGTTTTATGTAAACATAAGAAGATAGATAGATAGATAGATAGATAGATAGATAGATAGATAGATACAACCCTGTGCAAATTAATTGAAACAAATTGAATTGAATTTCATCATTACTTACTTTGTTTTATGTATACAGAAGGAGATAGATAGATAGATAGATAGATAGATAGATAGATAGATACAACCCTGTGCAAATTAACTGAAACAAATTGAATTGAATTTCATCATTACTTACTTTGTTTTATGTAAACATAAGGAGATAGATAGATAGATAGATAGATAGATAGATAGATAGATAGATAGATAGATACAACCCTGTGCAAATTAATTGAAATAAATAGAATAATTTCATCATTACTTACTTTGTTTTTTGTAAACAGAAGGAGATAGATAGATAGATAGATACAACCCTGTGCAAATCAATTGAAATAAATTGAATTGAATTTCATCTTTACTTACTTTGTTTTATGTAAACATAAGGAGATAGATAGATAGATAGATAGATACAACCCTGTGCAAATTAATTGAAACAAATTGAATTGAATTTCATCATTACTTACTTTGTTTTATGTATACAGAAGGAGATAGATAGATAGATAGATACAACCCTGTACAAATTAATTGAAATAAATTGAATAATTTCATCATTACTTACTTTGTTTTTTGTAAACAGAAGGAGATATATAGATAGATAGATAGATAGATAGATAGATAGAACCCTGTGCAAATTAACTGAAACAAATTGAATTGAATTTCATCATTACTTACTTTGTTTTATGTAAACAGAAGTAGATAGATAGATAGATAGATAGATAGATAGATAGATAGATAGATAGATAGATAGATAGATAGATAGATAGATAGATAGACAGCTATGCAAATTAAATGAAACAAAACGAATAACTCCGTTATTAATCATATTTTTCCAATGAATCATGACCCAGTGCACATGTTAATACTTCGTATGTCCGTTCAACGAAGTCGTTCCTTATAGATTGACCACAGATTCCGGATAGAATTTAAATCAGGAGAGTTTCCAAGCCAGTCGATAACACTTTGATTTACTCACTAGTAAGAATTATCGTTGTGTTTGTACGCTTCCTTGGGGCAACACGCATCCCAGACAATGGCCGTGGGACAACTAATCAACAGTCGAGACAATGGTGTCTGGGAGTGATGAAAATCTAATACAATCACTGTTGACGTAATATTTTTCAAGGCCAAACAAATTTCATCATCCACCACGAAAATGGATTCATATTACTGCACACCACTGAAAATGACCTAATCCGAGGAAAGAAGTAGAAAGCGATTATATCATGTTATTCCAGTGGGTCTAAAAAATGGCTGTATGGCGGAAGAAAGGAAACTAGAACGATTGTTTCAATTAATTTGAACAAAGGTGTAGATATTAGAAGGAACCGGAAATAAAGCTTTACATACGAAATAAGGGATAAGTCTCTACACTTGTTTAAAAGAACAGAGAGGCTTTCGACAGAAATATTCAATGCAGAGACGAATGGTCATCTTATAAAAGATACTGGCGAGAAAAAATTGTCTACTCCGTGAACCAACATTCCTAGCAACAGACCGAGGAATTGAATCTAGACAATTATTTCTTCATCTGTTTTTTTGTTTTTTTTGTTCACTATGTACAACCGCACGGCAGTGGTCTGGGAAATTGTCTATTCCGACGGAAAACAAAGGTTCTGGTTTTAATTCTGTGAATTCTTCGAGTAAATTGATTAATAATGGTTGACAATGCTCTATTGAAAATTAGTTCAAGAGATTTTATTCATTATTTCCGTTTTATTTTGCAGAGTTTCAGTCGGTCGTTTTAAAACGTTTTGATAATGTTTCTTTAACAACGAACAAAACGAATGTAGTCATTAATATATATATATATATATATATATATATATATATATATATATAATTTCACGTTGTCTTTTTTATGAAAACACATACGCTTTGTTTCCTTTTACTTTGTATTTCTCACTTTCTCACAATCTCTCTCACAGTTCATACATTGGTGAATTAGAATATATTTTCTTCATTCTTTCCTTCTCTTTATTAATTTTTCTCTCTTCCTCTCTCTCTTACTTGCTTCGTCTCTGAAATTCCACCCCTATACAAAAATCTGTGGATTTGAATGCTATATATTCTTTGTTTCTTTATATCATTAAGTTTCTCTCTCACAAACACAACTACTCTCCTTCTCACTCTCTTAAGAATTGCGTAAATTTTGATACTATGTTTCTGCTGTCTCTCTTCCTCTCACACTGTATAAAAATTTTTTTTCTCTCCCTCTGTACAAAAACCTTTCTCTCCCTCTGTACAATAATCTTTTTCTCCCTATATACAAAAATCTTGTCACTTTCTAAAAAAATCTTTTTCCCCATCTGTGCAAAAATATTTTTCTCCCTTTGTTAAAAAAGTCTAATCCATCCCTGTAGAAAAAATCTTTTTCTCCCTTTGCTAAAAAAAAATCTATTCCCTCTTGGTAATATATATATATATATATATATATATATATATATATATATATATATATATATATTTCCCTCTATACAAAAATATTTTTCCCTTTGTACAAAAATCTTTCTCTCTTTTTGTACAAAAATCTCCTTCTCCCCCCGTGCAAAAATATTTTCTCCCTCTATACAGAAATATTTTCTCCCTCTGTTCAAAAAGATTTTACTCTCGTTATAAAAAATATTTTCTCCCTCTGTACAAAAATCTTTTCTCCCTCTGTAAAAACATCTTTTCTCTCGCTGTACAAATATATTTTCTCCCTTTGTACAAATACCTTTTCTCCATTTGTCCAAAAATATTTTCTTCCGCTGTACAAATATCTTTTCTCCATTTGTACTACCATTTGTCCATTTGTCAAAATTCATTTTACAAATATCTTTTCTCCATTTGTACAAAATTCATTTTTCTCCCTGTGTAAAAACATCTTTTCACCCTCTGTACAATAATCTTTGTCCTCCTCTGTACAAAAATCTGTAAATTACAACGCAACCTTTTATTCACACTTTATTTCTCTCTCTCTCATTCTATCTCTTCCTCTCTTCATAAATCTGCAAATTTTGATTACAAGTCTTCTGCTCTATCTCTTCCTTTTCCAACGTTTTTCCCTCTGTACAAAAATCTGAAAAATAGGACGCCATTTTGTTTATTCTTGCTTTCTCTCTCACTCATTCTTTCGAGCGCGCCGGAGCTCTGTAAATTTTTATTCAATGTTTTATGAATTTTCTCTACTTCTACTTATCTTTCTCTCTGTACAAAAAAGATGTTTTCCCGATGTACTATATTTTTTTTTATCCTCTGTATAAAAATATTTTTCCCTCTGTACGAAAGACTATTCCGCCCTCTTGTCAAAAATATTCTGTTTTTGTACACAAAATCATTTTCTCTCTTTGCACAAATTTCTTTTTCTCCCTCTGTACAAAAATTTTTTTTTCCTTTTGTAGAAAATCTTTTCTCGCACTGTAAAAAAATATTTTTCTCCCTCTGTACCAAAACATTTTCTCCCTTTCTACAAAAATCTTCTTCTGTAAAAAAAATCTTTCTCCCCCTGTAAAAAAAAAACAATTCTACCTTTGTACAATTTTTTCTACCACTGTACAAAAATCTTTCTTTCGTTTTGTACTAAAAACTTTCTCCTTCAGTACAAAAATCTTTTTCTTGCTGAACATTTTTTCTCCTTTTGCACAAAAATCATTTTCTTCCTCTGTACAAAAAATCTTTTTCTTCCTCTGTACACAAATCTGTAAATTAGAAGGCCATGTTTTATTTGGTCTTTCTTTTTCTCTCTTTCTTTCTCTAATTCCTATTGTTCCTCTCTGCATAAATCTGTAAATTTTGATTTCCGCATTTTTTGCTATCTTTTCTCACAACGTTTTTTCCCACTCTACAAAAATCTGTAAACTAGAACGCCATGTTTTATTTGATTTTTCTTTCACTCTCTCTCGTTCCCTCTCTCTCTTATTCCATATCTTCCTCTCTCCATGAATCTTTATATTTTAATTCCAGATTTTTTGGCACTATCTCCTCCCCTCACAACGATTTTTTTTTTCTGAAAATTAGAACATCATCTTTTATTCTTACTCTCTCTCCCTCTCTCACTTTTTGGGACGTGTGCACTCTGTTTCGATCTCGCTCTGCATGAATCAGTAAATTTTTATTCTATGTTTTCTGAGCTTTCTCTTCCTCTCCCCATTTTTCTCCTCCTATACAAAAAACTTTAAATTAGGACGCTATCTTTTCTCCGTCATTTTCTTCTCTCTCTTTATAAATCTGTAAATCTTTCCCAACTTTTCTTCTCTCTCTCTCTCTCTCTCTCATCCTCTCTAAACATTTTCTCCCTCTGTACAAAAATCAAATTCTTTGTTTCTTTATATCATTAAGTTTCTCTCTCACAAACACAATTACTCTCCTTCTCACTCTCTTAATAAATGTGTAAATTTTGATACTACGTTTCTGCTGTCTCTCTTCCTCTCACCCTGTATAAAAAAAATCTTTTTCTCACTCTGTACAAAAATCTTGTTGTCACTTTCTAAAAAAATCCTTTTCCCCTCTGTGCAAAAATATTTTCTCCCTTTGTAAAAAAAAAAAAAAAGTCTATTCTATCTCTGTAGAAAAATCTTTTTCTCCCTTTGTACAAAAATCTTTCTCCCTTATGTACAGAAATCTCCCTCTACCCCCGTGCAAAAATATTTTCTCTCTCTGTACAAAAATTCCTCTCTCTCTCTCTATCTATCTATCTATCTATCTATCTATCTATCTATCTATGCATAAATCAATAAATTTTGATTAAATGTTTTCTGCTTTTTATCTCCCCATTTTTTCTTCCTCTATAAAAAAATATCTGAAACTGAATACGCCATCTTTTATTCATTCTCTCTCAATCTTTTTTTTTTTTTTTTTAGATAAATCAGTGGATTTTGACTCCGTGTTTTCTGCTCTTTTTCTTCTTTTCCCCACTTTCCCTCCCTATGTAGAAATATCTATAAATTATTAAGTCATCTTTTATTCGGTCTTTCCTTCTCATCTGTCACTCAACATAAATCTGTAAATTATTACTTCATAATTATCTGCTAACACGCACACACACACACACACACACACACACACACACACACACACAAACTCTCTCTCTCTCTCTCTATCTATCTATCTATCTATCTATCTATCTATCTATCTGCCTATCTCTATAAATTTTTTTACTTTTTCCTTCTTTTTCCTTCTTTCTTACTTCTTTCGTTTTTTATGAGAGCAATTCATGAGGAACAGGTGTCTTTTTCTTTTTCTAGTTCCTGTGTTATGATAAAGAATTTTAATATTTGCAAATGTCCAATCGGCCCTGTTTATTTTTTTTAATTATTCTTTCTTTTCCTTCAGATATCAAGTCAGCAATACCCAAATTTTTATTTTATTTTATTTAGAATCATTTTAGCCACTATTTAATCTCTATATAATTATATTATTTTTTCCAAATGTTTTTCTTTTCATTTTTTTTCTAAATTTTTATCTCCTTCTCTTTGGCACACTTTCTTCTTCTTGTGTAGTCGTTCAATTTCTTGAATTCTTTCTTCTTCTTCTTCTTCTTCTTCTTCTTCTTCTTCTTCTTCTTCTTATTCTTATTCTTCTTATTATTATTTTTTCCATGACTGAGTGCGATTTAACCCCAAGTTTCAACCAAAATTTCAGAGATATGCATTTTTTGCATCAGAAGATGTAAAAAGATGAGGTGTCATAATCAGGACAATGTGTGATCGTGCTCACTGTACGGATAGAAATTTGTTTAGTTGATTTCTTTTTAGCGGCATATCAACCCTGCTGGGTTAAATAATGCGGGAATTTAAATAATCTGAACACATTTTCTATGGCTTCAAATGAATATAATTTGAACACAATGATATGCTTACAACTACCGATAAAATGTATTGCTGGTGATTGTGTTTTAAATATGTATTTTTGGTCCTTTTTTATATTATACAGTATTGCTGATATTTATGCTATAAATATGTAATTTTATACTTTTAAATTGTTTGGAGGTTCAATATTTACTCATAGATTGAATCCTAACAGGTACTTTCACCTCAAATCATGGTGGAACAGTGAACAACATCAGTTAAGAGATGTTTTCACCTTCTTTAAAAAAAAAAACACAATAAGATATTAGAACGGAAAACCTGTATTACTACTGCAAAGAACATTAACAGCTACTAGACTTGAGAAACCTGTTTTCCTGGAAAAATGTTTCTAGGGAAAGATTTTATGAATTTCAGCCGAGAGCAATACTGGTTGCTCGGGAAATAATTGCAGAATGTTTCCTAATAACGTATATTAACATCACGGGTAATGTTGTCTTGAAATACCACATTTTACTACTACTACTACTACTATTATTATTATTTATTATTATTATTATTATTATTATTATTATTATACACTCAGATCGTTGTACGCCAGTAAAACTGTTCGTTGTGCAACATTCTGAGTCAATATTTACCTATATTTCTCAGACGAGGTATTGTAATTATATACATTGTCCGAACAGTTTTCCTCATCTTTGTTGCCACATTTCTGACGTTTCGGCCGTTGAACGCTTTGGTCTTCTTCGGGGTCCTGGAAAATACGAACCGAGCCCTTTATTTCGTCCACCGGAATAGATTATTCTAGTTCCACGTGTCATGCCTCTTCCAGATGTTTCAGTTCTCTACATTCAACTCAACACTCCAATTTATTGTCCACCGCTGGTATTGAAATCAAAGCATATTGGTTCAAGTCACTGGATTCGACCAACGCTTCTATTTATACGTCTTTGAGGATAGCAGTTCATTAATTTTTGCGGATTTCTAAACTTAATGTCTCAGTGACCATTTTCAACAGAGGTCACATTTTTTTTGTTATAATTGCTTTTCTCTAGCACTCTTTATTTAACCTTTCCCATATTGTATTCATTTCTATGCTTCGCCGGATTAGGAGATTTTTGTGGCTTAGCATATGTGCTGATTTCTTA